TCTGCATTGAGAAGTTCTCGTTTAGTCTCTGTTGCTTTATTTTCACATGTTTATTTTTTTTCTTATTGGAACTATCTGATCAGGATTGTCTTTTTGTTTTTCGCTTATTTCTTAATTTTATGCTTTATTCTTGTCAGAAATATATGATTTGTTGTCGTATAGTAATTCATAGTGTCTTCAGTTTACTGTTAATGGTAACCTGAAAAAATTCCAGGTGCAGGCTGCCACTGTGTTATGAATGCGGATGGGTCGTTAACTATTAAGAGCATAAATAACCTTTATAACAGCTTTACAAATTTCCTCAGCTCGTAAGTTTGAAAACTGTAAATCCACTTTTGTTTCAGCGCTAATAATTGAAATTAAAAGTTGAGAATATGAGTAAGATTTTCTTACTTTTGGCTGGAAGTTTTCATCTATCATTTATAACTTGTTAATAATAACTTCAAGGCAAATTGAAATTACATTTTGAGGAGTATCAAGGTCACAAAAGTAATTTAGCGTTGATAAAGGCAGCAATCCAGAAATAGCGGCTAAGTTTCGATCTTTGGAAACGGCAGTGCAGCAGCTGAGGGAGTCAGTGGATGCAATTACCGACATTTCCACGTAAGTGGTCTGTTTAGTTAAAAGTGAAAATCTCCTGGTCTTCAGCGATTTGGATGCATCATGCTGTCGCATTTCTCCTCAGAATGGACCTCCTTTAAACTTGGGAGTTAATTAGAGTCTATTTATTTATTTCGATTGTATTTGTAGACTTTAGGAAGTTCGGCATTGAAACATTACTCATCTGTTTCAGAATACTTCGCTACTTTTTAGTTAACTTTCTTTTTTTGATGCGATATTTGTTTAATAAAAGATTTTAAGTAACGAGGATTATCAGAAGAGAAAGATTGAGTCGTTACAAAGAGAATTGGCACAGAAAGACGCATTACTTAATTCGCTGAAGAAGAATGGAAACCAGTGAAGCTCAAAATCGCGATATTCTGGAAAGCAATAAGACAGAGAATGTAATTGTATTCAGCTTTTTGAAACTTTGTACTTAGCTACGATTTCCTTCATAAATATTTTCTCTGATGTTTTTACTTTTTTATTTTTGGTGGTGCGGTAATTTTTGGTCTATTCTGCCAAACGCTGAGTTGGATTCAGGTTTCTTCCCCATTGGTGACAAAGGCAAATCGTAATGCCACACGTGTATATTGCCCTCAGTGTGGAAGCCAAATAATGTCGCCCTCGGTTGCTGTCCATATTGCATATAAGCCATATGACCTTCCACTGTGCCGACAAAAGAAGGATGGATTAGCTGTGGAAAAAGAGCGCATAGATACATGGTATGTTTTGTGATATTTTTACTGTGGCTGTAAGTTAGTAGATTGATACATGGCTCTTCCGGAAGCGGTACTAAGAGCTTAACTTTTGTTTTCCTACTACTTTTTTGTTGCTGTTTGATAATGGCAGGTCATAAAGACTTGTTGTAATAGCTGTTTTGGGTAACACTGATTTTGCGTAAAACATTTAGGTGGTCTGTTGCAAAAATGTTGGATTTCGATAACGTTGGTTTTACCCATGCCAGTGAAGGTGTTAAGTACCTGGTATGCGCTGACTGTGAAGTGGGCCCGGTTGGCTATTTAAGTCTTGAGAGTCAAACTCATTATATTGCCTTGTCGCGAGTTTGTCACGAAAAGCCGAAGCTTCAGGCTAATGGCGATACTGCACTTGTAGACACACATTCCACGGAAGTACGAGAAGAAAGCAGTTGTCAGTGATTCAGCTTCTTGTCATGATGTTACTATTTCTCTGTGGAGTAGTCATCCGTTTGATTACTTTGTCTTCTCAATTTTATCTCAAATTAATTGGAAAATTTGTGAATCAGCTGTGTTTGAATACACTCTTTATTCGGGTTTCGAAAATAGTTTCTATTTTTGTTAAATTTATAACTGTTTTTTGGTGAGCTTGATGCTGCTTTCTTAAAACTTATTGGAATTTGCAAATAATATTTATTTATATTGATGATGTTGTCTTGGTTGCACAAAAGTTACTTTGTATCTTACATCTGTTGTATTTTAAGTAAATCTTATATGAACTGAATTGTTTTTGTGACATGATTTTTTTATAGAACTTGTTTGCACATGTATAGAATCGTCTTTTTTTAACCAAGTATTTTTGGAGTCAAGTAATCTTGCCATCAGAAATCTATATGGTTATGTAGATAACAGATAGAGGAAGATAAAATTATTTTAGCTGCACCTTACTTTACTAATGTTGGCTTACTTCCCATTTACACTACCTGGTTGTAATGGTATTTTTTGGTTTGGAATAGGGTAGTTTTTTTTTAACAAGGTTTTTGGCTTTTGAAGAGAGTTTTTTGCATGAAGTAGTCCTAGTTATTTTGAATGGCGCTAATTTCTAGGCCGTCAGGTATATGGAGGGTTAAGGATGCAAATATCCACTTTTTTGAGGCGGGGTGTTGCTTTTTAGCTTTGGTACTTGAGTTAGGTTTATGGGCTGGTTAATTTGTCGTTGATTTTGAGTGTATTGTTTGTAGTGGTTGTTTATTTTTAGGTTCTGAGAGGTTATTGTTGACTCTACTGTTATTGAGTTTTTCAGGTGCAATAGTTGTGGAAGAATAAGTTAGCCAAAATCGGTATGGCTAGTGAACCCACTCCAATTACAGTAAGCCTTTTTTAATCTTGAACCTTTAAGTGTTTTATCACTTTAATTTAAGATGCTAATCTCACAGGTGTGTACCGCTGTTCAATAAGAGTGGTGTATTTTGATGGGATCTTATCGAAAAATCAGTAATTTTTTTTAGTCAACAAATATTGAAGAACCACTTGATTTGATTCGGCTAAGTTTGGATGAGAGGATTTACGTCAAAATGCGTAACGATCGAGAGGTTTTCCTGTTATTTGTATTTTTTTTTTGCAATTCAAGTTTTTCTCCACTGAGTTGGAATCACATTTGTAACAGCGCTTTTAAAATATGTTCAAACGTGTAGTAGTTAATCAAATCAGTTTAAATAACATAATTATCTTGGGGTTTTAGGTGCGTGGTCGACTGCATGCTTTTGACCAACACCTGAATATGATATTGTCCCAGGTTGAGGAAACTGTAACAACAATTGAATTGGACGAAGAAAATTTTGAAGAAATGCATAAGCAGACAAAACGAAATATACCAATGTTGTTTGTCCGAGGTGACGCTATAATTCTAGTCGCTCCGCCATTGAGGCATACATGATGTCTTTTTATCTGTTGTTGTTTTTGATCTCGTTTGACTATGCTATCAAAATTACGGAGTTATTCTTACCGATTATGTTTTTCACACGAATGTTTTTTGTCTTTTACTTTTCTTTATTTTTGGTCTAATTAGTTTACGTTATCGAAAGTACGTTGTTTTTATTGATGCCATAAATGAATACGTTGTAATAAGTGTTTACTGAGCAAAACGGGCCATGGAGGGCGTTTTTTTCGAAGTTACTAGATTTTTTCTGTTATGATATGCAGAGTTTGTAGTTGCTTTTTTCTTTATAGTCTTCATAATTTGCATTTCTGAATGAAATTCAGGGGCTTAAATACTTCAGTAGTTAACGAGTAGGTAGATAATCATAATTAGTGACGTTTCTCATAAGTGGTGCAAGGCAAGATTTTTATGGATTATTGATTTATAATGTCATTGTGGATGGTAAAGTATAACAAGAATTTTGGACATTGATTAATGTTTTTTTAAAAGATGGTTCTTTTGGAACCAACAGAAAGGTAGCCGCCGTATTCAGTAGCAGTATACAGTTTACTGGACGTTGATGAAGTGATTCTGCTTCCTCATTCTACGTTGACAACAAGCTTATTTAATCTTGTTATTTCTGGTCAACGTTTGAACATAAAGATTGGTTTAGACATAGTCGCAACTCAGTGGTGGTGACGGATGT